TTGTTCATTAACAATTAATTATTCAAAGTTATGATGGCACTGAATGAGGAGACTTATATCTGGTCCTTGAAGTTGTGACTAGTGCAGCTTCCCCAGAGTCACATGACCACAAATTGGTTGCTTGGCAACTGGCTCACAATTGTGTGAGCCAGTCACAATGTCCCAAAGTCACATGATTGCCATCTATGACTTTCACTGCCAGCTTCTGACAAGCAATATCAATGGGGAAGCCATTAGGAGATTACAAATGGATTTGTAAAATCACACTTAATAATAATGCAGAATGTGCATAACAAAAGTGGAAAAGTCATATGATGTTGCACTTTACAGCCAAATTGTTTAGCAACAGAATTCCTGTTTCCAATTTCCATTGTTAACCAAGGACTACCTGTACTCTTCCTTCTAGGATTGATCTAAACTATTTATTAAATGTGCATGCCTGCCAACTCCCAACAACTCTGGACAGCTCATAAGAAAAAGTATCAAAAACAAGAAAAAAATACAGCAAGAAACAAAAGATGGCAAGGAGGATTAAAAAACATACAGAATGAAAAAGAATCAAATCAACGTAGTCCAAGGGGAATCCAGTCATCCTTGTCAAAAGCTTGGATTCTCCTTCAGAGGTTACAGCTGGACTATTTATAAATACAAGAGAGGCGGCTTTGGATTCTAATGTGATGATTTATCAAGTTACAGACCAGCATAGAAATCAATCAGTTGACATACAACTCATAGAAAAGAAACCAGAATGGAGATTTAAGCCACAAAAGCAAAACCAACAAGATCAAGTTATAGATCAGCATGAAAACCAAATAGTTGATACACAATTTATAGAAAGGAAATCAGGATGGAGATCTAACCCACAAAAAGTCAAGAAAAGAAGAAGCAGGTCTTACAAAACCAAAAACTTTTAAACTAAACAACAGTGTAATGCCAGTTATTTAAGAGATGATTGAATATATGAAAAGATAGCTGAGGCAAAGTATTGATTTATATTATCCTGAGGAGAGTGACAGACCTCTGCAGTGCTGTACTTTTGGGATGTGAAAGGGGCCTTAAACTGAATGGATTGGAATTATCTATTTTGGATTCTTTGATAAATGTATTACGTTTATGCTGAGCTACAAGGCAAGAGAGTTATGGGATTGGGGCACGCAGAAGATCTGGTTGTTACCCTATTACCCTATATAAATTTAATAAATAAATAAATAAATAAATAAATAAATATTACGGTGGTTGGAATTAATAATTTAGATGAAAGACACTACTATAGACACTATATGGAATACAAATATAAAGTCACTCTGGTGGTTGTTTTTTATATATCAAGACATCTATTGTTGATGGGGGCAGATGGTAATTGAAGATACCGAACATACTGTTGGAATTAGGATGTGATGTTACCCTAATATGGGTGATGGAGTTAACAATCCAGCTGAAAGACACTACAGAAGATATTATATGGATTACAAGCTTAAAGTCATTTGAGGATTTTATTTATATAAGGGAATACTTCTTAGTGGTGTGGGCAGAAGAATAAAGATATTAAGAACTTTTATGTATGGTAGTCCTGTAGGAAAGTTGGTGGAGATAGGTTAGCTTATTGATTGTTTAGTTGAAGAAAAGGGATATTATGTTTAGATATGAATATATGTAAAAGATTTGAGTTAAGAGATATATCTATGGGGGTGGAGGAAATGGGCAGACTATGAGTTGAATAAATGTTAAATTAGGATTTATTATATAGTTTTATAGTGGAAGGTTGCTTTGAAATGTCATATTAATATACAAAAAAGATTTGATTTAAGAGATATATGTATGGGGGTGGAGAAAAAGAGTAGATTATGAGTAGAAATTGTTAAATTGGGGGATATAATAATATTACTATGCTAAATTAGGGGTTATTATATAATGTTATAGTAGAATGTTATTTTGAAATGTATAGTATAAGGGGGATATAATAATATTATTAGAAAGAAAGGGTCAGCATATGGGGGATGGAGCAAGGGGATGGTAAAGTATTATATAATCCGTTATGAATTTGGGTTTTACTTTGAAGAAGCCACAGGGGGAGGGGAGGGGGAGGGGGGGTTAGGGAGGAGGGGGGGAAAGGGGGGGGAAATTTGTATTTGAAAAACTTTTTCAATTAAAAAAAAAAAGCCTGTGAAACATCAGCAGGTTGGAGTAAAACAATCTAGACCCGTGATGGCGAACCTATGGCACGGGTGCCACAGGTGGCATGTGGAGCCGTATCGGTGGGCACGCGAGCTCAGCTCCGGCATGCATGCGTGCGTTGGCCAGCTGATTTTCGGGCCTTCTGGGCCCACTAGAAGTCAGGAAACACACCGTTTCCAGCCTCCGGAGGGCCTCTAGGGGGGTGGGAAAGGCCGTTTTTGCCCTCCCCAGGCTCCTAGAAAGGCTCTGGAGCCTGAGGAGAGCGAAAAACGGGCCCACCGGGCCATCGCATGCCAAAAATGGGGGGAGCACGGGGGATTGGGGCACATAGAATTATGGATGTGGGCACGCATGCATGTGACCCTACTGCGCTCCCCCCGCTTTTGACACGCAATGGCAAAAGGGTTAGCCATCACTGGTCTAGACATAAAGCAAGTCTCCTGTTTATGGAACCTCGTGGCTCCATTTTCTCCCATTTTTACACAAACCTATAGTGGAAGCAATCCATTAGCATGGGAGTGCAATCTCATCATTATATTGATACTCAATTGTGTAACTCTGCTCTTAGCTGACCAAGTGTTTGTCAAGGTTTTGGCCCAATGCCTGGATGTCATAGACGACTGAATGGAGAACAGGCTTCAGCTCAACCCTAGTAAAAGACCAAGTGGTTGGACCCCCTAATTCTAATGGAGATATTTCCCTATTGGGGGAATCATAAGTGGGGATTTATACCTCCCCACTTAAAACTGCATGTGATTTGGGGACTCTTCTGAATTCATACCCGTAGTTCTTGCTTGAGCAGATGACACCTGTGGCCCAGAGAGCTTTCATACATTTATTTTTTGTGTACCAATTGTACATTCCTGATTTGGCAAGTTCTGTTTATGATCAGTCATGCTTTATTGCTGCCAAATTAGTGCAATTCACTGAACATGGAGCTACCCTTGTAAATATCCAGAAGCTACAATTATTCCACAATAAAACAGCACAGGTACTTGTGGCCACACCTCAGTACATCCACTTAACTACTTCATGAACTGCTCTAGCTGTCACTAGACTTCTGAGTCCAATGAAAGTTACCGATAATCACCATAATGCCCTATGTAACAGGGGAATTCGGTTATTGCAGGACCACCTTTCTTGGATTGTCTTCTATTGTCCCACATGTTCTCTCACAGGAAGGGCTCACTTCAGGTTCCTTCACTGAAACAATGACACCTGATAGCACGTAAGAGGTATGCCTTTTCCAGTACAGCATGTATCCTCCTCCTTCCTCCAGCATATATTTAGTCCTAATCTTGTTGGCTTTGGGAAAGATTAAAAACTTGCTTTCCTTGCATATTGGGGACAGGGTAATAGAAGATCCCACTTACAACTGGAATTTTAATTGGGCCTCAATTTTTTCTTTCTTTCCTGAATTAAAAGATTTTAAATTGATGTCACACAGAATCTAAGCTGTGCTATCATATGAATTTGTTAAATAACCAATAAATATGGTTTTTTTTTTGTGGTTACACTTACAGACCTAGCATGCTATTTATATTTTGTTATTAATAATAGCAATAGTAATAGAGGCCCTTGGATGCAATCAGAAATCATCTGGAGCACCACTTGAACATGATCGGCATTGACAAAAACACCATCAGTCAATTGCAAAGGCAGCTTTATCTGGAATAGCTTACATCCTGGATAATACTTTTTACACCATCAAACAATAACATCTGCACATCCCAGGCTCTTGGTAAGGATTCAAATATCAAATCTAGTCTAACTATCTGGTTGACAGTATGACCAATCATAATAACTTAAACTTTTATGTCACCCAAAGTATAGTAGAAGTTTGCTTTGGATCACACTCCTGTGAAGGCATTGTATATTTTACTTTTTACCCATACTGAACTTTCTAATACAAATTAGAATTTTCAAAACCCCTATGGCTAGTTAGGTATTCAAAAAGTATCTCAGGAATTACACTTAAAATACACTTACACTTTTAATTACATTTAAAACTACATGTAAAACATTATTCCTGACTGTATGTTTCAGAAGAAGCAAGGTATTAACACCTCATTTATTTTTTACTTAAAAAGCAACAACTATTTTAGACATCATTTTAAGTACAGGGGGTTCTTAGCTTTGGATCAAAGTTGTGATGAACTCTCCCAATTTCCAAGTTTTAATGACCACTCCCTTTCCCATAGTCACATGGCCACAGTTCATCAACCAGTTTGCATTTTCAGCGTCTTAGTGTCACACAATTACAATTCACATATTTGCCAAAAATCAAAGTTCACATCCAATTTTTGGCCAAAATGTAAGGTAGAAAAAAATGGGTTCCCTTAACAACTGCTACAAAAAAATGTCAGTCACGAGACTCCATTACAGTTGTAAGTCAAAGACTACCTTGTATGCTTATAAAAATTTCATATGCATTCTGAACAGAATCTTGTATTGAGAAGTATAGTGGATGGAGCCAATCACTTCCAGGCTTCATCGACTACTCAAATTATGGCTCCAAAAGTATTTCCCCAACCTTTCTAGAACTAACATTTCCCCACAGGACAAACAGCAACATTTAAATACTATCTATAGAACAACCCAGAGAGACAAACTAGCTTTCTCTCCATCACAACCCCATTATTCCAATGCAAACTGAGCCTTCTTAACTAGGATTTCGCTGAAGAAAGTCCATTCCCCTATTTCCTTGACTATATCCGACTCTGTTGCCTCAACTCGGAAAATCAGGGTAGCTATATAGGGAAAGTGAAATGGCAAAACGACAACGTACACTAACTGTGCGCGGGTTGGAAAAACCCGATACTCACCCTTGTATACCTGAGCTGTATTGCCTACTTTTCCAAGGCGTGCCTAGAGCGAGGGCGCAACCGGCTTGGGCTGGAGAGCAGGGGCCACTTTCGCCAGCTGGGCCGGTCCCTCTGCGGACGGTGCCGACACAGCCGCCCGAGAGCAGATAGTTCATCCCATACGTGCTGGCCTTGTTCTCTCGTTTCCTGCGCCCCGGGTGGTACTGGTGGTGGTGGAGGTGGTGGTGGTGGTGATGGTAGTAATGGGGATGGGGAGAGGAGGGGGCGGTAACGGCCACGCCGGAGGCCCGCGGGGCCTGCCCTCCTCCCTCCTCCAGCTCTTCTTGCTTCACTGAATTCGCTTCAGCGGCGCCTGCCAAGATTTTGCCAGAGGCCGCAGGCGGCCCCCCAAGTCCGGGCCGGACGCAGGACGGCGACAAGGAAGAACCACCGCCGGGGCTGTCAGCGCCAGACTCGGAGGAAGAGCAGGAGGAGGAGAGGGACGCCGACGGGGCCTTCTGGAGGAGCAGCAGGCGCGGCGCTCGTCTTTCCGCGCTCTGGGCAGGGAGAAGGCGCAGGGAAGCCGGCTTGGAGATCAGCTGAGGAGACGACAGAGGTCCGCCAGCAGCAACGGAGGCCTCCGAGCGGGGCTGTGGGGGCGCCGCCGCCGCCGCCGGGCTAAACCGACAGAAGGAATAGCGGGTGGCGGCCGTCGGCGGGAAGGCAGGCGAAGACGGCGAGGACGTCGAAGAGCCGCCGCCGGTTCGGCCCTGCGAGGTCTCCCAGATCTGCATCCAGAGCGCATTGGCGGGGCCTTTCTGCTCGGGCTGGATCCAGGCAACCCGGGGATCCATCCATCCGGCCCTGCCTCGCAGCCGGTTCCGACGGCCCGTCAGACACGCGCCTGGAAGAAGAAGAGGAGGAGGGGGAAGGGCGGCAACGGCATCTGAGGCGGGGCGCTTAGGCTGGAGAAAGAGGCGGGCGACGCCAACGAACAGGACCCCGTGCAACACCCCCACCCTGCGGCCCCCCTTCTTAAAATCAACGCCGCGCCTGCGCGGTGGCAGTCTTTCGCGAGGACAGCTCTCTTCAATCCTCCCTGATTAAAGAGAAAAACACTTCTAGGAGCGCTACGAGAGCGGCCGCCCGATTCCTGGGAAACGAAACTCTGAGGATGCGATTTTTATTCCTTCCTTTTGGAGGCGAAAGCGTCTGTAAAGCAACATTTACAGCGTTCGGTGGTCAAAGCGTCTGACTTTTTTTTTTTTTTTTGCCAGAATGATCGGAAAGTATTAGAAAAGAATGCAATCGCAAGTTCTTTAAAACTCGGTTCTTTCTTTGATAACGAAAAGTTAGGTAAACTTTGAAACGTGCTCAGGACGTCCCAATACGCTTTAACAAAAGAGCAAAAAGCATTCCTTTTTTCAATCTGATGACCTTAGATATGTCGAAATACGAGATCCCAAATTCCTACCTAGATTCTAACACATCTGGAAGACCGTATTTAGGGAAGGCTAAGTCCCTGAAATTATTACCTACAGACTCTGGGAGCCCAATTCCAGTGGTCCTTTAAATTGCACACAGCTGTTTGTTGGAGAAATGGCCTGCAAGGTTGTCATGCCTTTTTCTGCACTTGTGTTAGATTTTTCAGAATAAAAGATGGGAGATGGGAAGATTTTGAATTAGGCAGGGAACTTCTTCCCTTCTGTTAACCCATTAGCGATATTATTATAAAGGGTGTTAATGCTGAATATATAGCATCCATTTCCCACAAAAGATGAGAAGACAAAGAATAGAGCTGGAAGGGACCTTGGAGGTCTTCTAGTCCAACCCCCTGCTCAAGCAGAAGACCCTGTACCATTTCAGACAAGTGACTGTCTTAAAAACTTCCAGTGATGAACCAAACATTTATTTGTTTGTTTGTTTGTTTGTTTAGATTTATATACCGCCCTTTCTCCGAGAGGACTCAGGGCGGCTCACAACAATAAAACAAAAAAATAAAACAAAAACTCTGGGTTAAAAGTTACACATAAAATCCCTAAAATCAATTAAAATCCATTTTAAAAACCCCCATCAGTCCAGGCTGGCCAGGCGAAATAGCCACGTTTTTAGTTCGCGGCGGAAAGAGCGAAGGTCGGGGGCCATCTGGAGCTCCAGAGGGAGCTGATTCCAGAAGGTAGGTGCACCCACAGAGAAGGCCCGCCCCCTAGGGGTCGCCAGTTGACACTGGCCGACGGCACCCCGAGTAGGCCCTCTGTGGGAACGCACCGGGCGATGGGGAGCTGTTGCTGGCCACAGAAGGTCCGCCAAATACCCCGGTCCTAAGCCATGTAGGGCTTTATAGGTAATCACCAGCACCTTGAATCTCACATGGAGGGCAACTGGTAACCAATGCAGGTCACTCAGGAGGGGTGTAACATGAGAGCATTGGGACACTCCCATCACTACCTGCGCGGCCGCATTCTGCACCAGCTGAAGCCTCCGAGTGGTCTTCAGGGGCAGCCCCATGTAGAGAGCGTTGCAGTAGTCAATCCGGGAGGTGACCAGCGCATGAGTGACCGTGCGTAGGGCATCTCGGTCCAGGTAGGGGCGCAACTGGTGCACCAGATGAATCTGGGCAAATGCCCCCCTGGTCACGGTCGTAACATGATCTTCCAGAGACAACCATGAATCCAAGAAGACGCCTAAATTGCATGCCCTGTTAACAGGGGGCAACACCTCACCCCCTATAACCAGCGGTGGAGCATCCCCATGGAACTGAGATGCCGGTACCCACAGCCACTCCGTCTTGGCAGGGTTGAGCCGAAGCCTGTTCCTCCCCATCCAGAGCCGCACCGCTTCCAGGCACCGGGACATCACGTCGAGGGCATCGCTGGGCTGATTCGGGGTGGATAGAAAAAGTTGGGTATCATCAGCATACTGATGATACCCCACTCCAAAACCACGGATGATCTCCCTCAGTGGCTTCATATAGATGTTGAACAAAAGGGGAGAGAGGACCGATCCTTGGGGTACCCCACACGTAAGGGGCCTCGGGGCCGACCTCTGCCCCCCCGCCAACACCTCTTGTGAACGACCCATGAGGTAGGATGAGAACCACCATAAAACAGTGCCTCCCACCCCTAACCCCTTGAGGCGTCGCTGTAGGATACCATGGTCAATGGTATCAAAAGCCGCTGAGAGATCTAACAGGACCAGGACAGAGGAATTTCCCCTGTCCCGAGCCCTCCAAAGATCGTCAACCAGCATGACCAATGCCGTCTCCGTGCTGTACCCAGGCCTGAAACCTGACTGGTACGGGTCCAGGTATACTGCTTCCTCCAGGGATAAAAAAAAATACTTTTTTCAGCAGGCAACTGGACTTTCTTGTTTTTTCTTTGAAGATGTTTTGCTTCTCATCCAAGAAGCTTCTTCAGCTCTGACCGGATGGTGGGGAATTCAAAGAAAAACAAGGAAGTCCAGTTGCCTGCTGAAAAAAGTATCTTTGGGACACCATGACCTGGATGACTGAGGATCTTCATAGATCTCCAGTGATGGAGCACCCACAAATTCTGAAGGCAATCTGTTCCACTGGTTAATTGTCCTCACTATTAGGAAGGTTCTCCTTAATTCCAAATTGCTTCTCTCCTTGATTAGCTTCTATCCATTGTTTCAGACATGTATCATGTAGAGAAAAAGGTGAATGGTTTATTCATGTATTTGTGAAATATGTATAGCTTGTTCCAATCCAAATGGACTTGGTTAGGATAAAATATGACCAGAGATAAAAATTATTTATAAAACTCAAGTCCAGGTAATTTTTAAAAATCATCAATGAAACTCTAGCACATTATGTGCACCATTCAGTTTATCTAATGAAAGAGCCAAGTACCCACTGGAACAATTATACTTTGGCTTGTTTTCAAAACACCACTAGAGTAGGGGCCATCTATATCTCTTGGCAGAGAGAATTCATAAAATGAGGACCTATTGCCAAGGCTAACCCTGATGTATCTTGCAAGGAGAGGAAACCTGCAACAGGCCCTCTCTTGATGATCAGACCAAACAGGAATATTACATTTTGTTAAGGCTTTACCTGATGTATCCTGAAATTATAAACGACTATTAAAGGCTTTTAAGTTAATTATTACTTTTCTGAATTCTGGCAATGAATGCAGTGATTCTAAAAAAGGTGTTATTTTAACCAAAATAATTTTATCAGAAGTTTAGTCAAAACTTTTTGTGTCAGTTGTAGTTTCAGGCAATTTCTAAAGGCACCCCATGTAGCTTATGTTGCAGAATTGATTAATTGTTGATCAAAGAATATGTTATGGAATATGTTACTGGAACAATTTGGTCCAGGTAGGGCAGCAACTGGTAAATCAGTTATGCTGTGTAAGGCTATCTTAGCCATTACTTCTATTTGCTGTTTAAACAGGGCCTGAGAGAGAACCTTAGGTCACAAAGCAACTCCTTTTGGAAGTGTATAATCCTATTCAGAGCAACTATCAGACCCAATGTTAGTAGATTACTTTTGTATCAATGGATGACCAACAACTTCATCTTGATAAAATTTAGTTTGAGCTTGTTTATCCCATCCAGATCTTCACAGCCTATTGGTACTTTTAACTTTGAAAGGATACTTACTACTGTAATTCTCGTAAAATTATTTTTAAAAAAGTATTCTATTTCACAACTTAGGAAAATCAATGGCAATAATACTAGAATAGATTTCCATAATGTCAAATTAAATGTGATTTGGAGTTACACGGGAATGACAGAAGCAAGAAAAAAACAAGAACAGAAAGTTTTCTGAAGTTAGCAAGGTCAATTCTAGTATGCTTTGTAAGTTATATACCTGCAAATAATTTGTGAAATGATATATATCCTGTTATTAATAGTTTCTGACAGGATTCACAATCCAGTCTGTAGATGAGATGCTTATTTGTTTTTAATTTTCCAAATTTTAGAAATAGTCCTTCAATAGGATTAGTTTTATTTTTTCTATTCATTAAGAAATGAATTCCAAAACTGGAATATAATCATTTCATTTTTTTTAAACTTTGCATTGTTAAATGCTTCCCAGTTTGATTTTAATTGTAACTGTGCAAAAATTTAAAAGGGTTAACCATGCTAATTGAAAACTAGCTAACATTTTGGTTTGAGGTTAAGCCAGTATGCTTAATTTTACCACACAGTCACTTAGTCCTTTACACACAAGTGTCCAACCACTACCCAGTCCTCAATGAAGCAAAATAAAATGGGCATCCTTTAGGAATGATCATTCTATACAACTATGAACATCCTGAGTTATGGCCTACTCTATTTTTGTCTGTATCATTGGACAGATTTCAGCAAAGTTTAGACCTTAATTGTTCCAAAACTGATCAGTTCATGAAAACATCTGTCCTCCATTCCAAGCCAGGCTTACTATGCCAGCCAAGTGGTTAATGTATATTTGTACAATTAGTTGTTTGCCAAAAAAAAATGAAAAAGATTTGAGAAACAAGGAAAGTGTATGTGGCAATACAACTATCCCAAAGAAAGAAAGAAAATACAAACCAGGGGTGAAATGCTACCGGTTCAGCTGAACCAGCAGCAATGGCGGTGGATGGTTTGGAGAACCGGTAGCAATGGCAGCGTGAGGCTCCGCCCACCCGCCCAGTTGTTGTTACTTCCTGGTTTTAACCAGGAAGTAACCTGTTTTTTACCCTCTGCGCATGCGCAGAAGGGTTTGCGCATATGCAGACGGTCCCCATGCACATGTGACTTCCGAACTGGTAGGGAAGGTAAGTAAATTTCACCCCTGATACAAACTACTGGTTTTTCCCTCACCCAAATTCCCAATTTACTACAATTGCAATCCTGTTATAATTATAGGTAGTCCCTGATTTATGACCACAATTGAGCCCAAAATTTCAGATGTTAAGTGAGACATTTGTTAAGTGAGTTTTTAGCCCCATTTGACGACTTTTCTTGCCACAGTTGTTAAGTGAATCTGGTTTCCCCATTGACTTTGCTTGTTGGAAGCTTGCAAAAGGGGA